ATATATATATATATACTTAACTCTGTAATAGCTTTTAAATCAATAGCTTTTCTATGCAATATGCTGGTAGTGTATTATAATTAGGAAGATCAGTCACGTGGGATATGTGGCGGCACCCACATTTTGGAGATAATAAATCCTGTTTCTTTTTTAAAAGTAAATTTATTGGGGTAGCATTGGTTAATAACATTATATAAGTTTCAGGTATACAGTTTTATAATACATCATCTGTTTATTGCATTGTGTGCTCACCACCCAATGTCTAGTCTCTACATGGGGCCTAACTTAGAGTGCTCATGGATGTGGCCCTCAGTCAAGACCAGCTACTCAACATACTAATTCAGGACTAAGATGCTGTCCTTAGATCTTCCCAATGTGGTTTTGATAAGTTAGGGTTAGAGAAATCCAAACTGCTAGACTGTGGGACATAGTTGGGAAGAAGTAGCCAGGTGACAGTCAACTTGACAAATTAATTTAAAGGTAGATATTGTTACTTAGGTTTATGGTGATTTTGGACTAAAATAAATTTCTCCAGGTCAGTCTGAAAAAGATGTGAATGGAAGCAAATGGACAGTTACCACCTTTCATACCACACCCCGCATGCCAACTTATTTAGCTGCATTTGTCATATGTGACTATGACCATGTCAACAGAACTGAAAGGGGCAAAGAGGTGAGTAAGGAAGTGTCTCCAGGTAAGGGTATCTTTGTACGGGCTGCAGAGTGTTCATCCACTCTCTCTGCATCTGGGAGCATGGCTACACATCCCATCGTCCCCTCCTGGTACTCACTCCAACTTTTTCCAAGTCCTTTACAAGCTCTTAGTGTGGCTTTGAGGAATGAAACATAATCCCCGCTATAGCTCTGTGGAGGGGTTTCCATGGAAGGCTACACACTAAGTCCACTCAAGGCAAGTTCAAAGCCCCCTCTTTTCAGGCTGTTGCTGCCTTTCAAAGGACAAGGGAGAACAGGGAGAACTGACATACTAGCGCCTTGAAGCTCAGGTTTACCTGTTGTTTACCTCCCTATAACTCAGCCTTGAAGCTGGGTGATACTCAGTGTGGCACGAGCATGACCCAGCTGGGAACAGTGCTGTGGCTGAGATGAAACGTGCAGGTTAAATACCATCCTTGCTGAGAAGCAGGGCTGTTGGCTTCCTCAGCTCTGCAGCTCATAACACTTCCCCAGATTTGTATAAAATAGGTGCTCTGTCCTGAAATACCTAGTTTTCTCCCAATGATATCCTCATTACATAATAATCCTTGCGGAAAGTACCCAATACGTTGTATACTGGTTCACTCTCTATGCTAGAGTATGGAGGCAAGTAAGGCCACTGCTGTAGTCCTGGTTCTTTCTGGTCAGACTGACTTCATTGGGCTGAGAAAGATTCGGCCTTACAGCTGGCTGAGGCTCTCTCTTGGGCTCGTACTTTGTCTCCTACTTGTGGAGACAAGGAAGCTGAAGATGAGCCAAGTCTGTCATCAGGGGGAGAATCACTCATAGTTACTCCTTTTGCACTCCTAACTAATGATGAATTGGAAATGCCGTGCTGGATGCAAACAGCGGCTCGTTATCTCCCTCAGCTCTTGGCTCCAGCCTGATTTTCTGGATTGAATAATCACTGGTAAATCCTTGATGTTCACAGATATAACATTGGCCACGTCAAACCTTCATGACATCTATATTCATCAATATACTCAGGCACGATTTGAAAGCACACGCTTTGTGTCTGACATGAAGGAGTGGGCTCCAGAGCACATGAGTGACCCAAAGCGCTCTGTCAGCATCCACATCTCAAGTGGCTTGTTGCTCTCAATGCTACTGCACAGCAAACAAGTCTCAGAAAAGCATCAAATCTGTTCCTTAATGAAAGATTCCCCCTAAAAGAAAGCCAGCTGCCATAGAAGCAAAGAGGAAATGCCTAAGAAAGTAATGTTGTCAGCCAGAAAGTTGAAATTTGGGATGAGTTTATCAGTGGAATGTTGCATTTGGCTAAGGCTCAGTGCTACAATGAAGGGGTCCTGTATACTCTACAGGAGAACTAGAATGTACCCTTGGAATAACGCCAAGATTGTATAAAAATTACTCATCAAGTAGGAGAAAACTTAGTGAAATTGAAAATGTGATTAATGTGTGGCATGAGGATAAATATAGGAAACACAGAATTAAGGTTGGAGATAACACATTTTAAGTAGAATTTAGCACACATGGGTATGCGCAAAGACATTCCTCCCTCTTAGATACTGAGGTTGGCTGTGTATCAGGAGGGCCACACAAGAACACATTGGTGGACTAGCTATGGTTTTGAAAGAACTTTATGGCTACATCTCCAAGTGCTCCTTGCTGCTCTACCGGGGCCACTCACCCCTCGCACCCAGATAGAAATCTCCATTATTTGCCTGCCTCTTGGCTTATGGAATGGTAGTTGATGGGAGGAGCTTTATAGACTAAAAATTAACATAGAGACTTTAATTGTTATTGCCATTATTTTCCAAATAATTAAATGAATTAAAATGCATTCATTATCTTGAATGTGGGGAGAGGAGATTGTTCTTTTCACTCAGTAGTGTGCGCTTTGGGTTAGTAGTCTTTCTGTTGATGCAAAAGTTAGAACTAGAGTTGGGGAGGGTAAGTTTATTGTAGAAGTAGGGCTGAGTCCTGGGCCCATTTTCTCAAGGGTAATGAGACCTCGGCAGGAAGGGGAAGGTTGGAAGGAGTCAGGGGATCAGTGCAGAAGGCTTCAAAAGCAGGTGGTTACATGCTGTGAAAGGGGAGCATTCCTGAAGATCTCACATAAGTCAAAATGTGCGTGCTTCAAGACACATTTTTCTAGCAGAAATTAGAGCAAAGTGAAGTGAATGTGTTCTTGAAGGGCAGTAATTTGCAAATATTGTTATGCTGTTTTTCATTTACTTAGCATTTTCCCTAATGTTTTGCAGAGAGATCTTTCTCAAATTAACTGTACTCACATCAGGACAATTATTTTAATTTCCTCTGCTTTTCGTTTCAGGGTTATTGAGTTTCATACATGTTCTTTAACATTAACACTAGCAACTCCATTAAAAAGTGCTTAGATGGCATTGTTTTGGGGTATAAAATAATTTCATATTAAAATAATAATGAATGTTAAAACAACAGTAGTCACCAAAATTATGCAAAAAAATTCCAAGTGCCCAAACAACATGGTTACATTAAACTAATAAAACATGGCAGGGATTTCTTTTTACCTACTATATATATAAACAGAATATAATTTACTTGCTTCAACAACTATAAAATCATAAAACTTTTGATGAACTCTTTAAAATCAGGGAAATTAACCGTATTCTAAGTTTTGAAAGTAAGATGGGACTATTAATGTTTTCATTAACAAACCATTTTAAGTTGGCACGATTCAAATTTGTTTAATGTGTACCATACTGTATAACCCTCACTAACCACACAATTCTTTTTTGGGACATTGGAAATATGTCTAGAACCAGGAAATAAGGGCCCAAGGTGCCCATTTACTCTCTAACATAGAAGCTACATTTTCCATGGGGGTAGGCACAGATTGTTTTGGGGTGACAATAGTTATACATGTTATTGCAAAAGACTGAAATAACACACTTTTGGGGGGAGCCACTGTTCACAACTCAGAGAAGAGCCTTCTGGGCTTTTCTCAGCGTGCATAAGCATTTAAATGTTTTGTTATATAGCTTCTTGTGAAACAGTGTGACTTTGGCTCTAGAGTCTAGAGCAGTGGTTCTCAACCTTCCTAATGCTGCAACCCTTTAATACAGTTCCTCATGTTGTGGTGACCCCCAACCATAAAATTATTTTCATTGCTACTTCATAACTGTAATTTTGCTATTGTTATGAATCATAATGTAAATATCTGATATGCAGGATGTATTTAGGCCACCCCTGTGAAAGGGTCGTTCGACTGCCAAAGGGGTCGCGACCCACAGGTTGAGAACCACTGGTCTAGAGTATCAGGGAATTGGAGCAAGCAGGCTGCCACTTTCCAATACTGCTTTTTCTCATCATTGCTCAATTGTTTTTATTTAGATACGCATCTGGGCTCGGAAAGACGCCATTGCAAATGGAAATGCAGACTTTGCTTTGAACATCACAGGCCCCATCTTCTCTTTTCTGGAAGATTTATTTAATATTAGTTACCCTCTTCCAAAAACAGGTGAGTCATCTGCCCTTCCAATGCAGTTATTTTCCTTTTATGGGGCCCTGGGATGAGATTGTATCCAGATGAGCCTCCAAGGACCCACTGTCACCATTTAGCTGCTATTTTGGGGTTAGTTTCATCCCCTCCTGAAAACATGAAGGCCTGTCTGCGCTTCCTTCATGTGGTGCCCTGTGCCCAGCAGGTTTTCAAGGAGCTCTCAGGCTTTGGATCCCTCGCTAGCAGCCTCACATCATCCAGACCCTGTCTTCTCTCTTGCATCCAGTACTTTTCTCTCATAATGCAAGTGTGCAATGCAATGCTCTGGATTCTTTTAGCAGGCCTGCGTGAGTCACTCAGTTCCCTTTAGTAAGGTTTTGTTGGTTTAAAAAAATATTCTTTAGTTTTGAGTCATTGGATTAGGATTTAAGAGTCCCATCTGTGAATTTTTGCTATATAAAATTGGAATCATGTGTGAATATAATATGATTCTTGAGGAAATATGTAAACATTTTGTCTCTCATACATCTATACAGTATGTCCTTAAAGAGCCACTCAGCTTAGAAAGTTGTTCAATGTTTTTATTTTTCTCTCTAGAGTGAGGGTATCATGTAAATGTTTTTTGTTTCTTTGTCATGCATTGGTGGTGGGATGGGAGTGGGTGAAGGAAAGGGAAGGTTAGAAGAATGGGGAACTTAGTCTAAGGCAACTAAGTTTGATCCAAGATAATAGAGCATTATCTGTGGAGGCTATGAAATGACCTGGGTACACACTTTACTACACACTATCAACTTCAACCTTGTATAAGGCCAACTTAAATTATTGAATTTAGCACAGCATAGAACATTCACTGGACAGATGTAGCACAGATTGTACGAATGAGATTTCTTCTAGTAGCAAAAGAAAATTTAAAAAACTTTTATTGTTCTTCTACTTACAAAAGTAATAAATGATAACACTGTAGAAAATTTGGAAAAATAGGGGAAAGCACACACACATAAAACAGAAAAAAATCTCCTGCAATGCTGCCACACAGGTATAACCATGGCCGACATTTGGGTATATCCCAGTGCCTGCCAGTCTGGATCTCTGTTTTTCTCTGTTTGCTTCTTTGTTTTTTAACAAAATGTATCGACATGATCCAGATAACTAAATATTCTTTTTTATTGTATTTAAAATATGTTTATTATTGATTTCAGAGAGAGAAAGGGAGAAGGAGTGAGAGATAGAAACATTAACTATGAGGAGTGTCATGGATTGGGTGTCTCCTGCATGTCCCCTGCTGGGGATCGAGCCCACAACCCTGGCATATACACTGCCTGGAAATCAAACTGTGACCTCCTGGTTCATGGGTCAATGCTCAACCACTGAGCCACACCAGCCAGGCTATTATTTATTGTCATTTTAAAGACATAGAATACCTACATATTCAACTTGACAAACTACTTTATTTACTCCTCAGTGGTTGAATATTTGGACTGCTTCTACCACTTTGGGGGGACTACTTTCAGGACACTACAGAAAATCCTTGTAAGAAAATGTTTACAAATATATGGGATATTTGCCTTAGTATAGATTCCAAAAGTTGAATGATTTAGTCAAAAGGTAGGAACATTTCTAAAGATTATGAAGCATTTTGCTGGATTGCTTCCGAAAGACACCTCACCAGCAGGCCATGTGCCAGTTTTCCTATAACTAATTATTAATACTAATGCTAACCAGTACTAATTAGTAAGCTTCTCATACATTTAAAAGACTAAGTTATACCATTATTTTAATCTTTGTTTTTGATAAGTAAAGAAGTTGAACATTTTAGTAAGATTTTTGGCTGTTTGAATTATTTCTTTAGTGAATTATTCACATATTTTTTAAATTTGTCAGAATTATTTACTAAAAATATATTGTCTAGTTGTGATATATACTTTTCCCAGTTTGTGGTTTGCCTTTCAAATTTGTTTATGGTGTCTTTTAGTGAACTAAATGTTTAATTTTAAATAGACTTTATTTTTTAGAGACTTCCTATATACCATATGTAGATTTTTTAGACTGGCTTCCTTTACTTAGTGATATACATTTATGATTTCTCCATGACTTCCCATAGCTTGATAGATCATTTCTTTTTATAATTGAATAATACAATATTGTATGGATGTCCAACAGTTTGTTTATCCATTGGCCTTTGAAGGACATCTTGGTTGCTTTTCATTTTGGGCAATTACGAATAAAGAGGCAATAAACATGTGTGTGCAAGTTTTTGTATGGGCATAAATCTTCAACTAGGGGGGTAAATACCTAGAAGCTCAGTTGCTAGACTGTATGATCAGCCTATATTTAGCTTTATCAGAAATCACCAAACTTTCTTCCAAAGTGACTGTACCATTTTGCATACTCACCAGCAATAATGAGAGTTTCTGTTGTTCCAAATCTTCTCCAACATTTGGTGGTGTGTTTTGGATTTTAGCCATCCTAATAGGTGTGTAGTGGTATCTCGTTGTTTTTGTTTTATTATTGTTTTAATTTGCAATTTCCTAATGACATATGACATAGAGCTTCTTTTCATATGCTTATTTTTCATTGGTATATATTCTTTTATGTTTTAAAATACATTTTATTGATTTTTTACAGAGAGGAAGGGAGAGGGATAGAGAGTTAGAAACATGGATGAGAGGGAAATATTGATGAGCTGCCTCCCGCCCACCCCCAACTGGGTATGTGCCCGCAACCAAGGTACATGCCCTTGACCGGAATCAAACCTGGGACCCTTGAGTCTGCAGGCCGATGCTCTATCCACTGAGCCAAACCGGTTAAGGCAGGTATATATTATTTGTGGCATGTCTGTTTTGATCTTTTGCCAAATTTATAAAGTTACTTATTTGCTTATTGTTGACCTTTAAGAGATCTTTGTATATTTTGGATACAAGTCCTTCATTAAAAGTATTTGGTTTTTATATAATAAAAACAATTTATTTTCTGGCTTCTGTCTTTAGTATTTGTCTTTAAAGTCTACTCTCAGATTATACATATTTACTTGAATTTTTTCAGTATTTATATGATTTAACTTTGAGATATTTATAACTGGAAATCTCAAATTTTTTGAAAGAATGATTCTATTGTTTCCTCCATTGAATTCCATTCAGATATGATTGCCTTGCCTACTTTTGACAACCGTGCAATGGAAAATTGGGGATTACTGATATTTGATGAGTCATTATTGTTGCTGAAACCAGATGAGCAACTAACAGAAAAAAAGACGGTGATCTCTCACATTGTCTCCCACGAGATTGGGCATCAGGCACGTGGTAGAATGTTTTCTCTTATTTCACATGAAGATGTTTCCCAGCTGCTCTACCAAAAATAGCAAAAAACAAAGTAAAAAAAGAAAAACAACAACACCTGCCATACACCAAATTTTAAAAAGTTTATTCAAAAAATGGGACAATGAGAGCCCTGGCCAGTATGGGTCAGTTGGTTGGATTGCAGCCTATCCCTGGTAGTGGGCATGAGAAGGCATTCAATCGATGTCTCACTCTCATATAGATGTTTCTCTCTCCCTTTTCCTTCCCCTCTTTCTATAAAAGGAAATATTTAAAAAATAAAATGGGAGCCATGGCCAGTGTGGTTCAGTTGGTTGAATGTCTTCTCATGCAGCTAGAGGTTGCAGGTTTGATCCCCAGTAGAGGTACATGTCTGGGTTGTGGGCTCAATCCCCAGTAGGACGCATGCAGGAGACAGCTGATCAATGTTTCTCTCTCCTTCTCTCCCTTCTGCCCTCTCCAATATATATATAATGAGAAAAACAAGGGAGGCTCTATGTAATCACATCCCGAGTAGATCTGAACAGTTGTTGATGGATCACAGTGATGAGACCTTACAGTCCATTGGAGGATTAGCTATTTACATCCAAGGATTAACTTGCTCTAAAAAGTTCCCTTCAGGAAAAATAAGCCAAGCAGAGCTATGATTATTTGTTTTCATGCCATCTCAAAGTAAGGTACATCATAAAAGTTTACGGAAAGATATCCACATTTCATCAGTAGATTGTTACAAGCTCTTTTTTGGGGCGGGGGGTGGGAAAAGAGAGGTTAAAGGAATATATACAATATATTAGTGTCAATGAGATGAGTGATAATTAATCCTCGAGCTGCATCCCCAAAACTGGTGTAAACAAAGTTCATTACATTAGAACTATATACTTTCATGTTGTGGTTGGAGAAGTTTAGTTTGATGGAAATTTGGTTTGATGGAAATTTTCATATGCCCCTTTTGACCTTGACTTCATTAATACAAGCCAGTCAAGAAAGAAATAACTAAACTATGAAATTATTTTGTTACATAGATTTATAAGAAATTTTGGGAAAGTGATTTACTGGGTTTGAATAACAAACACCCTGTTTGTTATTCAACACACACTTCCACAAGTTTTGATCAGTCACCCAAGGTGTCATTTTTTATTATATCCTAAGTGACACATTGTTTTGGAATACAGGCTAACTCTTAGCACATCACAGCTGTTCTAATAATTTGGTTAAATACTAGGGTGTGGATTTGTTGGTCTTGGAAATTATTGTGTTTTTCTTTCCTGATTCTATTCATCATCTGTTTGACACTTTCTATTAAGCTCAAATAGAAAATAATGATAGCGGTACCATTTTGCAGAACATGATTACTTGAGTGATTTGTACATGGCACAGATCAAATCATATTTTTAGAACATAATAACTGCTTACAGCCAAATCCTGCTGTAGTTTATTTAGAGTATAAGATACTATAATTAGTAGGTATTATGTGACATTTAGTACTTCTGCTTTATTTAACTTATGGGCAAAGTGGACAGTTTAAGAAATGCTACTCTGGCTTTCATTATTTTTGAACATCACATTAAAACAAAAATTGCTTTCAATCTTTGAATGTGAAATAATTATTTCAGGGAAATGAGCGCATGACTAATATTTCTTCATGTTAAAACAACATGTTTTTGGATTCCTGTTTTATTGATAGCAAATAAAGTTTGTCTTTGATTCTACATTTATTTAACATGCAATTTCAAGAAATATTACCTAAATTAAATTTAAGAAAACTCTTTTCTTTTCCATCTTCAAAAGTGGTTTGGAAACTTGGTTACCATGAGTTGGTGGAACAATATCTGGCTCAATGAAGGATTTGCATCTCATTTTGAGTTTGGAGTAGTTAATTACTTCAATCCTAAACTCTCAGGAGTAAGTATGTCTGTCAAATTTATTTGTAATTTTTTCTCCTAATTATAAGAGTAATGCATAGTTATTGATGAAAATGTGTAAAATATAATTAATACTACATTATCTGTAATACCAGAGATGATCAGTGTTATCTTTTTAATGTATTTTCTTTTTCCAGGCTTATTTATTGTAAATATTCATAAAAGTGGGAATTACACAGAAATGTATAATGCCTTTTTTAACTTCAAATGATATCAAAAGCATTTCCACAAATCATTAATTATTTTTTAAAACAAGGTTTCTAAAGGTTGCCTAACATGTTATTATATAACCTTATAAGGTATATGTGTATAATCTTTTCCTGTTATTTGATTTTAGGTTATTTTCACTTATTCCTACCTAACCTAAATTTTAAAGCAGTTGTAATCAGAGGTCTATGACTTTAATGATAAGTGATATGCTATATTATATACTTAAAATAGTACATATAATTTCACATATAATATAGTTGATATATAATCTATATAATAAAAGCCTAAGCGACCATTATATTGGAACGACCAGAATGACCGGTCGCTATGATGAGCACTGACCACCAGGGGGCAGATGCTCAACGCAAGAGCTGCCCCCTGGTGGTCAGTGTGCTCCCACAGGGGGAGCGTCACTCAGCCAGAAGCTGGGCTTATGGCTGGCAAGTGCAGCAGCGGTGGCGGGAGTCTCTCCCGCCTCCGTGGCAGCACTAAGGAGCAGTAAGTCAAGTGATAAGGAGCAAGCAAGCAGGCGGTAAGGAGCGAGGGATCCTGGATTGTGAGGGTGGACATCCCCCAAGGGGTCGTGGACATCTAGAGGATGCAGGCCGGTGCATGAATTTTGTGCACCGGGCCTCTAGTATATTATATAGCTGATGTTTATATGTTATAGCTCATATTATTTTGCTGTTTTGAGTAACTAGTAATATGAAAAAAAGGATAAATTTATGGATATGTGATTCTGATGATTTCAACTCTATATTTTTGATAATTTATTTAGAGTAATTAGGTAGTGCTTTCAGAATGTCATGATAAAGCTAAATTGACTTTATTTTACTTAGATGTTTATGTGTTTAAATTTAATATCATCCTTTGACACAGACCTCACCCCTTTATAACAAACCAGAGGCCCTTTCTTCCCTTCTGGTCCTGCCTCCAGCCACCTCTCTGATGCTTAGGGCAGCTCTTCCTGCTGCTCTCTGCCAGCCTCTCCCTCATCTCCCCTCCCAAGTGGTTCCCAGGCTGGATTCTTGGCCTCTTGTCCTCTCCCCATCCCCACTCATTCAAAGAGTGTATTGTTATTTGAAACGTTGATCTCCACTGGCCAGCTCCTCCTTACAGGCTAAATTTCTTCACTTTGAAGGAGTTTGTAAGACTATATTGGTAATAAAATTTGCCTTCTTTTATGAAAGGGTGGTGATGATACATAGATAATGTTTGGTTTTTGTTGGTTAAAAAGATGGTAGTGCCCTAGCTGGTTTGGCTCAGTGGATGGAGCGTTGGCCTGCAGACTAAAGGGTCCCGGGTTCAATTATGGTCAAGGGCACATGCTGAGATTGCGGACTCGATCCCCAGTAGGGGGCGTGCAGGAGGCAGCCAATCAATGATTCTCTCTCCTCATTGATGTTTCTATCTCTCTCTCCCCTCTCCCTTCCTCTCTGAAATCAATAAAAAAATATATTTTTTAAAAAGATGGTAGAATAAAAAGTTGACAAGCCTGTCTTAGCCCTACAGACTTAAAAAAAACTTTTTTGCATCTGTTTATGAAATCATGGTTTTTGGGAAACACTGATATAGCAACCTCTGAATGTCCCAGTTCCATGCACCTACTCTCCCCTTTTCAGATATCGTATAAAATGTCCACAACCCTCAGTCCAGCTGCTCTGTGGTGCCTCTGTTCTTTCTCCCGTGGATTGGACATTATTATATAGTTCAGCAGAAAGAAGTATCAAAAGGTTAACTGACTTTCCCAGTTCATTTTCCTGATTGGGACAGAACTGTGATTATAACCCAGTTGTCTGGATCTAGTCTAATGACTAGGGTAAAGATGAGAGTGACAACAGTAATATGGTCTTTGCCATTAACTGAGCACTTTGGACTTAAGTGCCAGGTACTGTGAATTCTATACACACATCATCTTAATCCTCAAAACAATCATCTGAGTGTAGTTGTTATTTTTTCTATTTTATAGTTAAGGAAACAGGCATGGAAGCATTAAGTGCACTGTGCAAGGTTTCAGAGTTATTAAATATCAAAGGTGAGATGCAATTCCAAATTCTTTGACTGCAAAGCCCATACCTTTAACCACCGTGCTCTGCAGAGAAAGCACCTGGGAGTGTTCTTGCTCTCAAGGAGCTAGTGTGTGTGTGTGTGTGTGTGTGTGTGTGTGTGTGTTTATATGACTCTTTTCATATATATAAACTTTATATACATGTAGTAAATCTTAGTTTTCTTCAAAAGCCCTATCCATATACTCTAAACCTCTATGCTTAGAGTCAATAAAGAAGTTCCATTCCCCAAAATAATTAGATTTACTCTCTATGTTCTTTTTAAATTTTATTTTCAATAACAGTTTACATGCAACATTATTTTTATTAATTTCAGATGTGCAGCATAGTGGTTATACAGTCATATACTTTACAAAGTGTTCTCTCCCAATTTTCTCAGTTCCCACCTGGTACCATATATAGTTACAATATTATTACAATACTCGAGGCTCAGTGCACAAAATTCGTGCACTCAGGCGGGGGTTGGGGGGTCCTCAGCCTGGCCTGCACCCTCTCGCAGTCTGGGAGCCCTTGGAGGATGTCCAACTGCCGAGTTAGGCCCACTTTCCGTCAGTCAGACAGCCTGAGCACTGCCCAGCTTCTGGCTGAGCGCATTGACCACCAGGGGGCAGCTCCTGTGTTGAGTGTCTACCGCCTGGTGGTCAGTGTGTATCATAGCAACTGGTCATTCTGCCGTTCAGTCGATTTGCATATTAGCCTTTTTTTTATTAGTGTAGATTATTGACTCTATTCCCTATGCTGCGCTTTGCATCCCTGTGACTGTCTTGTAACTACCAATTTGTGCTTCTTAATCCCTTCACCTTTTTCACTCAGCCCTCCAACTCCATCCCCTGTGGCAAACATCAGTCTGTTCTCTGTTTCTATAAAACTGTTTCAGTTTTGCTCATTAGTTTATTTTGTCGCTTAGATTCCACATATAAGTGAAACCATCTGGTATTAGTCTTTCTCTGACTTACTTATTTCACTTAGTATAATACCCTCTAGGTTCATCTATGTTGTCAGATGGTAAGATATCATTCTTTTTTATGACCTGGTAATATTCCATTGTGTATATGTACCACTTGTCTATTGATGGACACTTGGGTTGCTTCCATATCTTGACTATTGCAATAAACATAGGGATACATATATTCCTTTAAATTAGTATTTTGGGTTTTTTTTGGATATATTCCCAGAAGTGGAATTGCTGGGTCATAAGGCAGTTCCATTTTTAATTTTTTTTAAAATCCTCCATAATATTTTGCATAGTGGCTGCACCAATTTACATTCTCACCAAAATGCACAAGGTTTCCCTTTTCTCCACATCCTCACCAATACTTGTTGTTTGTTGATTTACTGATGATAGCCATTCTGACAGGTGTGGGGTGGTATCTCATTGTGGTTTTAATTTGCATTTCTTTGATGATTAGTGTTGTTGAGCATCTTTACATATGTCTATTAGCTATCTGTATACCCTCTTTGGTGAAATGTCTACTCAGGTTTTCTGCCCATTTTTTAAATTTTACCCTGTTCTTAATTAAATAGAATATATTAACATTAATCAGTACCTCTTAATGCAACTAAAATGGCTAAGGTATTGTCATATCTGGGAAACTTGATGAAAACATATTACTGGTGTTTTTGAAACTTAGATGGTAAGATTAGCTCTTTTTGTATCATTTAGTTATTTTTTTCATCATTGGTTCTTAATTACTCTTTTCTGAGTCTACATTTCTCAATTATTGTGCAGCAGAGTGAATACAATCCTTGCTAGAAGAGCATCAGATCCCGGCACTTTAGAAAATTAGCATAAGCTTTGAAAAAAAATTTTTTTAAGCTTAAGGCCTTATTTCAATAACCTTTGAGAGATCATGGACTTTTATCTAGTCATTAGATTGAAATTGAGAAGGAAAATCAGAAAACCATATGCAAATGCAGAACTCTTGAGTATTAAATTAATAAAACCTATACTTAATGAATAAGATCAGACTTATGTAGATGTCGTCCCTAAATTTTTGTGACTCAAAGTGTGATTCTCAAATTAGCAATGTCAGCGGCATCTGGTTAAAATATAGGCCCCACCCCAGACCAACCGAATTAGAAGATGAGTTTGACAAAATCCCCAGGTGATCTTTATTGACATTAAAGATTGTCTTTATTGGTATGCATTGCCCTAAATGATAGGCTTTCTCAGAGTTTGATAAGAGCCTAATCAATGGTATTAATAAATCTAAAAATACTGTGCTAATGGGAGAGTGATGATTGGAACATAGGCTAATGGAAGTGGGACAGAATTTGAAAGTTTATCTGACACTGTCCAGGGGTGAGAGTCAACATGGGGACCCCCAAAAGAGGCTTCATGTGGATTATCAGGGGCTCTCCAGGGTATGCTATTCCTGCAACTTCTCCATTGTTCCTTCTTTGGCTCATCCACCCCATGCACCTCTTGGCTATACTTTGGTTATCCTTTCAGCTTTTCTTCAGAAAGAAATGGCCCTTGTCATGGGTCAGAGAGATTTAGTCTTTTATAGAGTTCTGTACTTCTTATCAAAATGTAACAAATTGCCTTCTTATAATGTATGAGTTATATATAAACTGTTATATCTAATCTGTTATTTCCAATTACAAATTATTATATCAGCATTCTTTTGAATTTATAAATATGGCATGCTTGTGGTTTATGAATGCCCATGAAAGAGATACTGATTGATCTTAAGGGTTTGCTATTAGTAATTAGATTAATATTAGATTTTAATAATTCTCTATAAAATTCTAGAGGATTAAAACCACCAAGAGATGCCCTAACCGGTTTGGCTCAGTGGATAGAGCATCAGCCTGCGGACTCAAGGGTCCCAGGTTCGATTCTGGTCAAGGGCATGTACCTTGGTTGCGGGCACATCCCCAGTAGGGAGTGTGCAGGAGGCAGCTGATCGATGCTTCTCACTCATCGATGTTTCTAACCTGAAGAAGCCTGCCAACCCTTTTGTTTTTGTTCAAAAACAAAACCACCAGCCTTCGTTAGTTTGGCTCAATGAATAGAGCATGGGCCTGCGGACTGAAGGGTCCTGGGTTCGATTACGGTCAAGGGCACATGCCCGGGTTACAGGCTCGATGCCCAGTAGGGGGCATGCAGGAGGCAGCCAATCAATGATTCTTTCTCATCATTGATGTTTCTATCTCTCTCTCCCTCTCCTTCATCTCTGAAATCAATAAAAAAAAATATTTTTTAAAAAAACCCCCAAAGATATTTTTCCCCCCCCCCCCCCAACCCAGGAACCTCCTTAGGAAAAAGGTATATGGAGCTCTTGTAATTGATTTTTTAAAAATTGAAATAAAGAAAGACACTAAATGGGAAGGAAAGTATCCTAGAATTTTATTACTCACGGAATTCTTGCTTATTTGGCATATTGTAGCTCACAGAGCACTTCTCAATTATTGTTTTTCCCTTCTTCAATGTCAGTTTTTGAAAGTATTTTGGGAACATTGAACTTTGTGTTTCTGTGACACCTCAGAACTTAATGTGGCTCAATCGTTTCCTTTTAGAATGAAGTGTTTTTTTCTAACCTTTTACATGATGTTCTCAGAGAAGATCACTCCCTGGTGTCACGAGCTGTATCCATGAAGGTGGAAAATTTCACAGAAATTAATGAAATAAGTGAGCTCTTTGACATATTTACTTACAATAAGGTAAAATCAGTCATATATTTCCTTTTGTTCTGAACTCTTGCAGAAAGTTGCATAAAATAGATTCCAAGGTTCATAAGCTAATATGCTATTGTACAACTTTTGATACAAATAACCCTAATTTTATTCAGTAGATAGATTTCAGAAAATGTGGTTAAATCAATTATTATCTGGTAAATATTAATCAAGCACATCTTAGGTGCTCAGTACCATCTACCATTATGAATAGACTTAGACACTTAGACCTCGACACTTCTATTTGGTACAAATTTATTTTTGCCATATATATATAAATTTAAAACATTTTGTGTACCCTGAACTTTCTATATGTAGGGCATTAGTTCACCTTGTACCTATTAATTAGTGACAGTCTACTATTTTATTAAAATATTTTAGAATAACTGAAGTTATTCAACTAAAGTGCACAATGCAGTCAGGAGCACAGCCCAGCATAATGCTTGTTGAAATGGAATGTGTCAGTATTTAGATATTGAATTTTGTTCAAATCATGGACAACTTCTTATGTCTTAGGGAGCGTCTATGGTCCGGATGCTTTCTAGTTTCCTGAGTGAGAATTTATTTATCAGCGCACTTAAGGTAAGTTTACAAAATGTTACTTGGAAGGCAATAAATGTAAATTGCTTTAGGATGTGATTTATTCTAACCTTAACTTTTCTATTTTTACAGTCATATTTGGAGACATTTTCTTACTCGAATGCTAAGCAAGATGATCTCTGGAGGCATTTTCAAATGGTATTGGCCTACTTCCTGACATGTTTTTGCTGAGTTGTTCTGTATGATAGAATTCAACAAGATGGGGCAGCCAGGCTTATATGGCAATGCCACAGGAAAACAGTTTTACCCTTAAGTCGGGCTGTTTCTTTAGTCTCCAATACTGTATTCCCAGTGCCCAGAACAGAGCCTGCACATATTAGGTCTAAAAATATATGTTTAGTGAGTGAATGAATGAATAAACTAAGGAACCATTCAGGTATAGAGTTGAAGGGAGTTCTGAATTTGGCCCGGTATATCACCCACTGGGAATTACTATATGGAATAGCTATGTCGTTTCTTTTAGGAGATTGCTACCTCAAAAGATTTTGAAGATAAATATCTGCTTTTCTGATGTTTTTTTAAAAACAGGCCATAGATGACCAGAATAAAATTGTTTTGCCAGCAACAGTAAAAAGTATAATGGACAGTTGGACCTACCAGAGTGGTTTTCCAGTTATCACCTTAAATGTATCTACTGGCGTCATGAAACAGGAGCCATTTTATCTTGGAAAGGTTAAAAATCAGACTCTTCCAACCCACAAGTAGGTAGATTTGCTCCTCTGTCTTTCCCTTCCTTGGGTTGAGTTCTGATCAAATGGAAACCAGCCTGTGGGTGAGGAAGCATGACCCCTGCTGGCTACACCTTTTTGCAGAGTGACTCTGGGATGGTGACTTAGGACTCCGTGTAGGACGTTCCTGAGGTGCTAGGGTAAGGGAGAGCTCCTGATGTCCTGAGCCAGGCCACAGACCTGCTTTTAAGGTTTCAAGGCAATGCCTCTCCTCAACACCATTGACCAAAGCTTTGGGTGTTATGTATTTCTTTTTTGTCCTTCAGACAGAAATAACAAATTACTCAGGATTCTGGGTGACAGGCAATACGCTAGAGCCATAGATAACCTCATGCTAGTTAAGAGAAAAGGATATCGTGTTGCAAGGTCATCTTCTTTTCTCTAGAAACAGTACTGAATGGTAACTATGTCTGAGGAATAGTTTTGTGTATGAACACACATGCATGTCTATGTGTATTTGTACCCCTTCCTATAGCATTAGAATTATGGGCTTTCAATACTGTTAGACCTGGGTTCAAATAGGAACTCCACCAAACTTCAAATCTTAGGTAAGTCTTATTTAAAATCTCTGAGTTTTAATTGACTTATCTATAAAATAAACATAATAACAGGTATCCCAGTAGATTGTTGTAAAAATGAAATAATGAGTATAAAGTGGCTTAGTATTCATCATTTTCTCGTTCCCTTCTATTTCTTAATTTGTTAGATAATTTTTAACTGTTTTTCATAAAATTTTGATCCTCACATCTCATTGTAGTATTGCCACAAATGAGTAATTAATTTTCAAATACCACCACCAAAATTTTCAGGTCCTCCTACTCTTTCTTTAAAACCCCAGGGGAGAGGAACAAGAGACCTAAAGATTTCTTCTCACTGTGATATACTGTGTCTTTTGAGAAGAGTTATGCCTTAGTCATCAGGTAAAACAGAGACCCTCAGTTTAATGCCTTTGAGAATCCAGACTTGTGAGTATTTGAGCAGATTGAAAAATATTGCCCAAATTCCAAGTAGCATGTCCATCCCTTCAGGTGACTAATGTCCTCCTTGTGGTCAGCTACTTCATCCAGGTCATGTCCACAAACACGGAAAGAATGCTGGCCTTCAGGAAATATGAATGATCTGGCTGACTCATGCTGAACATTTTTCAGATGGGGAGAAAGCTTGATGCAGAAAAGTATTTTGAAATATTTGCCAAGTTTTTCTTCTTAAATTTCTCTTTACCTCTCTTGGCAAGTATGGATTTGGGTCTGTCTGCAGCATTTGAACAACCTCTGAACAGGCCAGGTGGCTATCATTTATTATAAACAGGCCTTTAACAAGATAGTCCTAGAAGCTACCTTAAGTTTTAAGAAGTCAGTCTATAACAGTGGTTCTCAACCTTCTGGCCCTTTAAATACAGTTCCTCATGTTTCGACCCAACCATAAAATTATTTTCGTTGTTACTTCATAACTGTAATGTTGCTACTGTTATGAATCATAATGTAAATATCTAATATGCAGGATGGTCTTAGGTGACCCCTGTGAAAGGGTCGTTGGACCACCAAAGGGGTCGCAACCCACAGGTTGAGAACCACTGATCTATAAGATACAACAAGAGAGAGTAAACAAACAACTAAAGCCAAACTGGCTTGTAAAATCAATAGTGAATAATAAGAAGCCAAGTCCTACATATCCAGAGGGAATGACCAATTTCTGTCTGTTATTTTATCATCTCATTTAACATTGGCTCAGTGCTTATATTCTTATGTGTGAAAATTAACTGAATTTAAAATTTTTTCTAAGTGACACATGGATTGTACCTGTTCTTTGGATGAAAAATGGAACTACACAATCTTTAGTCTGGCTAGATAAAAGCAGCAGTAAGTAACAAATTTTTTAAATATCTTCACATATATACATGCATATATATACTATAAAGGATAAAATTTGAAATATTTAGCTTTTGAAAAGCTATCCTGTTTAAAACTAAAGTATGATATCATTCTTGTTGAACATAGAGATTTAAAGAAAAGTTTCTTTTTTTTGTTGTTGTTGTAGATTTTTTTTATTAAATCTTTATTGTTCAGATTACATTTGTTCCTCTTTTTTTTCCCCCCCCATAACTCCCCTCCTTCCAGTTCCCGCCCCACCCTCCGCCCTCACTCCCCACCCACTGTCCTCATCCATAGGTGCACGATTTTTGTCCAGTCTCTTCCCGCATCTCCCA